TCATAACCCTCTAGTTCTCGAAGTTTCTTTATTTCAAAGAGATTGCCTTCCACAGCGAGCAGGCAAATCTGGGAGTCGCTGAGGATGCTCTGGGGAAGCATGCTGAGCTCCAGACAATTCTCCTCCAATCGGAGCACTTTGAGGCGAGGACAGCAGGATATCTTCACTGAGATCTGAGATATCTGTGGACAACACAACAGTGAGAGTACAAAAAGCACAATGGCTACTTTTACTACTGTAGCAAACCTTGCCTGGGTCCCAGCTCTTCTTCCACGCCTCCAGTTTCTCACTGCCTACTCATTCCAGAAGCCTCTGTTAACATACCTTCTGTTACTCCTCCACTTTCAAACGATTTGAAGGATACCAGTAGCATTTCAGAAATAAAAACTAATAATAAAGGCACTGTACATTTATTATAAAAAACATGAGAATCATGTAAGTTCAAGGAAAAAGTTTGCCGGTAACCTGCCACTCAGAACAACCACACAAACATTTTAATACCCAAACCAAAAGATTCCATCCATGCTTCCCATGCACTGCTGCACCCGACTGGACTATTGGTCCTTTTCTTGAGACTCCCCTTTGTTCGTGACACTAGATTTTTCCTCTTTTGAATTTCTCCTGATTTTGTTTTGACATCTTTATTATTTTCAAGCAGAAACCCCTAATGCTTAACATTTTACATTCTCAACCTTCTAGAAAACATTCTTAAAGCCATTTCACTTATGACCTCAGAATCGTATCAACAGTTCTATCTACTAACCTCTAGTACAGTTTGTATCTACAATTTTCACTAAGACATTTGGATGACTCAAGTAATGGACTCGACACGCCCATTCAACAGCATTGTGTAGGCCCTCCAGGTCAATACCAAACACTTTGTTATTGATCCGTTCACTTTGGCCAATTGAATGCTCCAAGTTTTTTCCTTCCCATGTTACAGGATGAACCAGAGTCTCATGCATGCCACATAATTACTGTACCACTCAGCTGTTCTCCAGCCCCAGGTCACCAAATTCTGTTGACTGCCTGGTATTTCCAACCATCACCTGGGAACTTTGTGCAAATGCAGATTCTTAGACCTCTCTCTCACTGAATCAAATACTAAGATGACCTTAAGCTCCCCAGGTTATTCAAGTAAGGTCTGAGAAACATTCCAACTACACAGTCTAGCCATAGGGAATGTAGAATAAGTCATCAACTAATACTTAATAGTTGATTAATCTATTGATTAATATTAATAAATATTGATTAATCTATTAACTAATGCTTAATAGATGACAGTTTTCCCCCTAAAGATCTCAGGGAAAAAATGAAGCCAACCTCAAAGGCTGACTGTCATAATGTCAACTCTGGTCCAGCACAGTAACAACATGTCCATGGTAGCTGATGTACATAAGTGGAAGCATAGTGGCTACAGAAACTAAGGGCTACCTAATCTCAAATGTTCATCACTAGGCCTCCTGTCTAGAGCAGAGTGCTTCCCCAGACAAATGTTAACCAAGAAGATTCAAAACAAGGCAAAACATTTCAGTTGTAAAGTTGTCCAATGATAAGCTAGCTCCAGAAAAACTATCACTTAAGGATTTTTCAACAAAAGGATGCATATTTAACAAAACAACAAAAAAATGATGTCTGAATCTCAGATTCTATGCGTTTAAGTCTCACCCCTGCACTATTCCATCCCTGACATGGCTCTTCACTAAATGATTGGTGGTGTGGAAAGGAACTGAAGATTTGCCAAACTTCCAACTTTAAAAAAAAAAAAAAAAATATCTCACCCTGTTGCTCTGTTCTCCCTCAAAACACCTTGAACTATCAACCCACTCAGTAACATTGGGCATTGAAATAACTTCAGCTTATGAAGTATATCTTTTAGCTTCTGGTATCAGCGCTTAAGGAAGAGGAAAGTTTCAGGAGACCATAAACCCAAACACACACTGGGGTGGGGGTGGGGGCGGGTCGTACACAGACACACAAAGAACTGACCTGGTTTTGGTTGAGGTTGAGTTCGAAGGCCTGCAGCTCCCCCACAGTGTCAGGTATGCTCCGAATCTGGTTTTTAGAGAGATCTACCACATCCAGATGTCGCAGGCTACAGAGTTGAGGTGGTAGTGCTCCCAGCTGGTTCCCAGAGAGGCTCAGGGTCTTCAGGGCAGAAAGCTGCCCAAAGGTAGACGGTAGCTCTCTCAGGTGATTGTTGTTTAGACTTAGAGTCTCTAGTTTTTTCAG